TTCCTCCGTGCTGCTCTTAAATATCTCCAAACTGCCGATGTTACTTCTTCTTCTTCTTTTCTTCTCATCGTTCTTCTTCTGTTTTTCGGGGGTGCGGTCAGAAATAACTTGTCAGTGCGTTAGCGCCCCCGCCTGGTATGGATTGTTGTTTACCCTTTGTGCTGCGCAGCACAGGAGGGGACAAAAGTGGTATCGGTTAAGAGTATCGGCTGGCTTTTACGAGTACGAGTACGAGTACTTGATGCTGGTATCGGATCCGATTCCGATACTGGTATCGGTATCGGGACACCTCTAGTTGAAACATTTTGACAACAAAAATCTGAAAGTTAACTTTTATAAGTTTATCTTTTTTAACTCCACATCGTTGGAAAACAGGAACCATCTTTACTCCGGTTCTGACAGGAAATAAAAGCTGAACTGATTATTTTAGTGACCTCAGGTTGAATCACTGAGGTTCTGTTGGAGTTAAATAAACACATCATCTGTGCTGCACCTAAAACTAACCTGAACCTGGGTCCTAACCAACCCCACACCTGGAATTTGCCCAGTCCCCACGATGCACTTCGGTCCCCACAAGGCTGCTTTTTTTTAGAAAAATTGTCTCCCCTCCTGCTGGAGCCCCCTGGAATAAAACCTTTAGCTCCGCCCCTGCAGGATCGTTTATTTCTTAAATTATTATTTCTACATTTCTTACATCCCGTTTCTCCTGATTTAACTCTTATTTTATCCGGCGGCAGCAGGGTTCATCCTGTCCGTCTGCAGCTCGGTTCTGATGAACGCAGGGTTCTGGTTCTGGTTCTGGTTCTGGTTCTGGTCAAAGTGAAACCAAAACATTGCCCTTTTTATTTGTTTGGTTTCGTTTTCAGATAAGAGGGAGTGTGTCTGCAGTGAGAGGAGCTCTGCGGACACAACCTGAGGTCAGTGCCTTTATTTCCCTTCTTTCTGGGGTTTCATCCGAACAGAACCAGAACCCGCGGGCAGGTCCGGTTCGGATCAGAATGACGCAGAAGTTTGGTGACCTGACGCGACCTCTGGTTTCAGGACAGGAAGCAGCTCAGACACTCCTGTCTGTTTTACATTTAATTCATGCTTTTTTTTAATTAGTTGTTTTTTTTATTATTTTATTTTTTATTATATAAAAACGCGCAGAAAGAGGCGCAAACTGCGGCACCGACCCGCCGCGGCGCGCGCACCTCAGCTTTACCGCCAATCATCTTTAAACGGTTGTCTTTTTAACAAGTTTTAATTTCATTATAATTAATTTAATTATAGTGTTTTACTGAAGAAAATAATAAAGACTGAGTTATGATCAAATGTTTAAAAGATGTAGCGCAAAAAAAAAAATAAAAAAATAAAAATAAGAGACGCACCCACCACTGATGAAGAGGAGCAGTGATGAAGAGGAGCAGTGATGAAGAGGAGCACGTGCTGGCTCCTGAAAAAACGTTTTCACCCCTTCAGATTAACTTCAGATTAACTTCAGATTAACTTCAGATTAACTTCAAATTAACCAAGTAAAATAAAAACTAAATAATTTTAAAT